TCATCAAACGCAGTTATAAAAGGAACATCACTTACATTTGGGGGCAAGATTTTTTAAGTATGTATAGGATATAATGCAAACTGTTTTTTATTAGAACCTCTGATATACCCCAGAACCCCCTCATTGACAACTGAGGTTGACTGACAAAAGGTAATTTGTGGTACTTTATGAGCCAGAACAATCTCAGAGGTAGAATGAAAGATATAATACAGAAATAGATATGATTTTGATTACTTTCATGATGAAAAATACCTTGAAATTGCGCTCACAGTAGTGAAAATGTTCTATTCTTTAGTGAAGCTCAAGAGTAAACAAATGACATCACCGTCCAATACCTGTCTGCCTGCCAGTCTAAATTCCAGTACGGAGTCAAGAATGGATTGACATTATTTATACAATTATTACAATAATGCAGTAGTCTGCATAACAGTAAATCTTCTATTTTTTTTTTTGTGAATAAAAATTCCAAATGGTAAGCAAGAGTAATATAAGAGGGGCCTGTAGCTGTGACTAATGAACAGAGAAACTGTTATTTTAGTGCCAGGAATGTCTGCATTGTTTATTTTGGACCCTATTTTGAAATTGGCATCTGTTGAAATTTGTGTGAAATTGGCCAAATTGCCAATTTCTGACCACTTTATTGGGTAGTTGAAATAAGTGAGTGGGCGGTTTCTTGTACTCAGTTGACAGACTAGAAGTAAATAAGTTTATTCAGGTATACACAAATACAGTTACATTGATTATCATACATAGCAGTGTATGTATAGAGAACCTGGGATAACCCAGAAAAGTCAGACAAAGTGACTTATTTCCAGTACCTGGCTTGGGCTTGCCATATATGATTTTTGGTAAATATTTGTTTTTTCTCGGCTGTTTGTTGGGCTATCTCATTGAAACTTGGGCAATGTATGATGGAAAGATGCTTCTTAATGTACAACAAAAATAAAAAAGACGGACGATAAATAAGGGAGTTCACTTCTCAGCCATTAGCTGCCTCTTTGCAGTATATTTTCTTTATGGGTTTTATGGTTGTATTCTCATTTTTGGACTCATTTGATAGAATGGAAGATATATTACAGAAATAGACATGATTTTGATTGCTTTCATAACGAAAAGTACAGTGGACCTCCGCTTAACGATCACCTCCCAATGCGACCAATTATGTAAGTGTATTTATGTAAGTGCGTTTGTATGTTTGGGGGTCAAAAATAGACTAATCTACTTCACAATATTCCTTATGGGAACAAATTCGGTCAGTATCGGCTCCTGAACACACTTCTGGAATGAAAAAATATCGTTAACCGGGGGTCCACTGTACCTTGAAATTGAGCTCAAAGTATCGGAAATGTTAGATTTTTGCCGATGTTCAATGAACTGTGCAAGTCAAGTTGGTTAATTTTATTAAGTGTATTCTAACCTATCCACTCTGTAATTTCGGCAAACTCAGTAATCCGGCACACTACAGGTCCCAGTGATACCAGATTTGTGATGGAGGACCTGTATGTGTGATGAGAGGGTTGGTGAGGTGAACAAACATTCATGAGTGGTGACGGGTGGACATAGTGGCTGCTGTAACACGTTACCACACATAGTGGCTGCTGTAACACATGTTACACCACATAGTGGCTGCTATAACACATGTTACACCACATAGTGGCTGCTGTAACACATGTTACACCACATAGTGGCTGCTGTAACACATGTTACACCACATAGTGGCTGCTGTAACACATGTTGCACCACATAGTGGATGCTGTAACACATGTTACACATAGTGGCTGCTGTAACACATGTTACACAGTGGCTGCTGTAACACATGTTACACCACACAGTGGCTGCTGTAAAACATGTTACACCACATAGTGGCTGCTGTAACACATGTTACACCACATAGTGGCTGCTGTAACACATGTTACACCACATAGTGGATGCTGTAACACATGTTACACCACATAGTGGATGCTGTAACACATGTTACACCACATAGTGGCTGCTGTAACATATGTTACACCACATAGTGGCTGCTGTAACATGTTACACCACATAGTGGCTGCTGTAACACATGTTACACCACATAGTGGCTGCTGTAACACATGTTACACCACATAGTGGCTGATGTAACACGTTACACCACATAGTGGCTGCTGTAACACATGTTACACTGCATAGTGGCTGCTGTAACGTATGTTATGCTACATAGTGGCTGCTGTAGCACATGTTACACCAAGTGTGGCTGCTGTAACACATGTTACACCACATAGTGGCTGCTGTAACACATGTTACACCACATAGTGGCTGCTGTAACACATGTTACACCACATAGTGGCTGCTGTAACACATGTTACACATAGTGGCTGCTGTAACACATGTTACACCACATAGTGGCTGCTGTAACACATGTTAAACCACATAGTGACTGCTGTAACATGTTACACCACATAGTGGCTGCTGTAACATATGTTATGCCATATAGTGGCTGCTGTAACACATGTTACACCACATAGTGGCTGCTGTAACATATGTTATGCCACATAGTGGCTGCTGTAACACATGTTACAACACATAGTGGCTGCTGTAACATATGTTATGCCACATAGTGGCTGCTGTAACATGTTACAGAATGTCGTATCCCTTGTTTTTGTTAGATATTGTTTACAAAATTATTGAAAAATATTAGCTGTTTGTAGGAGCAGCTGAACTGTCGAACCCACGTGCCCCTGGCAAGACAGTGTGTTAATAAAAATTAAGTCGTACAGTAATTGTACAACTTAAGTCATGTACAGTAATTGTATATTAAATGAGGTATATGTACAGGTACCATCCGACTTACGACCGAGCTTGGTTCCGACCAGCCGGTCTTAAGTTGAAATGGACGTAAGTCGACCCTTGCTACTGAATATCAACATCACATTTTTGAAATGACTATTTTATTGTTTTATTTTGGTATTTCATGTTTTACTTTACTTTTTATGCTGTTAGTACTGTATTTTATACTGTAAGGTTTAGGATAAACACTGTACAACACAAATAGTTGTTTATTTCCCAGAAATTTGGCATAAAAATCAAAGTCATAAGTCGAGTGGTCGTGTGTCGAGCAGGTTGTAAGTCGGATGGTAGGTGTATTGTATAGAATAAAATATGATTTTCCTTTAGATTTTCACTTATAATGTTAATGCTGAGTAAAAGTAGTGAATAATTCAGTATGTATATTAAGTGTGCTTCAAAAAAGTTAAATAAGTGAATTATGTAGATTCAAAAGCACGCACATTGCAGGGTTGTGCTGCACATGAAAGATACTATAAGGTCACTACCACACCAACATATTGCAGTGAGAGATATAAAAGGAAATAAAGAATACACTCTGTGATAATCACGGGCACTAAAAGTGCAGCATCTGTGATCCAAGACTATTCAGTCTGCTGCCAGCAAGTATCAGAAATATATCCAGAACAAGTATAGAAGATTTTTTTTAGAGGAAACTGGACCATTATCTGCTACTTAAACAATCAGGCTGCTGGCAGCAGCAGCCTGGTTGTTTAACGCGTCGGCTGTCGCAACCCCAAATCCTGAAGTGCCTCCTGGTGTCGAAAAATTTTTGGAAGAAAAATTTTTTTTTTCATATGAAATGATAAAGAATCTTTTCCTGATGGTAATGACACCAAAAGTACGAAATTTGATTGAAAACTTATGGAATTATGCTCCCGTGAAGTTAGCGATCTCGGCGATATATACACATCAGAGATTTTGCCGACTTTAAGTCCTATTTTCGGCCAATTCCATTGTTCCAGTCAACCAAACTCATAGCTATTTCTTTAGAACTCCAATTTTCTATCAGTTAAGTACAAGAAACCGCCGATTTACCAATTTCAACTACCCATTAAAATGGTCAGAAATTGGCAATTTGGCCAATTTCACACAAATTAAAAAAGATGCCAATTTCAAAATGGGGTGCAGAATTAACAACACAGACATTCTTGGCACTAAAATAACATATCCTCTGTTCATTAGTCATGTCTCCAGGCCCCTCTTATATTACTCTTGCTTTCTATTTTGATTTTTTATTCACACAAAAAATAGAAGATTTACTGTTATGCAGACTACTGCATTATTGTATAAATGGTATAAATAATATCAGTGCACTAGTGAAAGAATATTAGACTCCCCAGTTGACGTATATTGGAAGTTTGGTGTGATTTGCTTACTCTTGAACATCGGTAAAAATCAAACATTTCTGCTACTTTGAGCTCAATTTCAAGGTCGTTTTCATCGTGAAACTAATCAAAATCATCTCCATTTCTGTAATATGTTTTCCACTTTATCACTTGAGACCAGTAAAACGAGAATACAACCATAAATACTACACGAAAATACACCTCAAAGTCGGCATTTTAATCCAAAAACATGGTCAGAGTTTTTTTTTCTCTCATTATGCACTGCATGCTGCAGGATTTTTTTGATACAGTACACAATGACCACACAGACCCATTCTCTCATATGTGGGCCTACCAGCTTTCTCCTGCTTGAATTGAAGCCACTATAATTATTGAGTACATACATGTCCGAAACACTGGCTCGTAAGACATATATATACGGCCGAAACAGTCAGAGGGTTAAGCAGTCAGCAATGAAATCTGTTCTAAGGCAGAACCTCGAGAATAGAAAAATTATCCAAACTGGTCACAGGTATATCACTGGTTGCTGTTCCTTTTAATGGTTCATGAAACCTGAACACAGGAATTAGTTTAATCTATGCAACATTCCTATACTCAAGAGAAGGCAATAGGTACTTGACTTTTGAATACAGGAAATCATTAAATATAAACTGTTTACTTATGGAGAAAAATTACTGCTATTGAAGACTCAACTCAAATCATCATTATTTCTTGTCAAAAAGGTGTTTCTTTTGTTAATGCAAAAATTCGTTTCTTCTTTTTTTTTTTTTTTAAGATGACCCAACCGTATCTCTAAAGAATCAATTTTTTTTTATTTGTCACTTTCAGACCTCTGAAGAGGCTTCAGGGACAACAGGGTTTGTCAGATGTTTATGCTCTGTGTCAGATGACACACAGGACCGCACACTGGATACATCTGCCAACGCTCAGTTTTATCAGTGTTGTCTGGTGTGGCAGTACCCCAGTCTACCATGGCTACAGCTGTTTCCTCGAGACAACATCAAGCAAACCTCACACACTGGACTTTTTGGCGCAGATCAGAAATTAGGAGAGACACTCCATTCAGATTGGTAAGGGTATTATTATAGCATTATTGTTATTATCTTTGGGAACTACCAGGTTTTTTTACAGGTAGCACCTTGGGAATGGGAAGAGTGGAGGAAAAAAACAAGTGTGATTCAAGGAAGTGAAGGGTGGCTCTAGTTCCTTGCATAAATAGGCCTTCAACATTGAGGAAGGGATCATCCTGAGCTTTGAAAATGTAATGTGGCAACAACTGCATCCAGTATTGGGGACTTGTTTAACCCTTAAACTGTTCAAATGTAGATCTACGTTTGTACCGCTAGCGCTCCAAACGTAGATCTGTGTTTTGTTTTTCCTGCCTCCAAATTTGGAATGATTGGCCTGAGATACCTGGTCAGTATAGAATGGGTCTTAACACTCAGTGTGCACCAGCTGGAGCAAATAGCATGGCAAACACCAGGGATTTAATGATGTCATGTCATATTAGCACTTCCCTTTTAAGAGGAAAGTGATGCTAACCCAGAGTTTAGTGGCTTCAAGATGGATGCTGTCAGAAGTGCTCAAGGAAATATAAAAAATTTCGATAATAACCTATGTGCAACATTTGTGTAACATCCTTTCATTTCTGATACCACTGGTAGTGTCATCCTGCCAGAATGTCCAATAACCTATGCCCTAAGTAAAGAGAAACGATTCTGGAACGTGTAATATGTATTCGGCAGGCTGGCAGGCTGGCAGGCTGGCTGAATGGCTGGCTGGGTGGCCGGCTGGCTGGGTGGCCGGCTGACTGGCTGGTTAGCTGGCTGACTGACTTTGGTTGTGTCTCTGTCTGTATCTGTCTCTGTCTATATATCTATCTGTCTGTCTGTATATCTCTGTCTGTCTATCTCTGTCTCCCACAGGTACACATAAGTACAGTTATTATACATAGTGTAAATTACCTAGGATAACCCAAAAATTCAGGAATCAGGGAGCTCGTAAACCAATAGGTTTATGAACCGCTCCTGAGACAGAGAGACAAGCAGACAGAAAGACAGACACACACAGGCAGACAGACAGATAAGCAGAGCTAGACAGACAGATAGACAAACAGACAGATGGATAGACAGACATGTTTGTGTGTAAGTGACAACAAATAAAGCCAGGGTTCCCTGGAGCAGTGCACATTCATCAAGTGTCATTGCACTGTCAGCAGTTTATTGACACTCGTCATAACACCATGCTTCAAGGAGTTTCATAAATACTCCAACATGTGCAAAAGAAGAAAATTAAAGGTGAATACAGGAAAGAGTAAGGTTATGAGGATAACAAAAAGATTAGATGATGAAAGATTGAATATCAGATTGGAGGGAGAGAGTATGGAGGAGGTGAACGTATTCAGATATTTGGGAGTGGACGTGTCAGCGGATGGGTCTATGAAAGATGAGGTGAATCATAGAATTGATGAGGGAAAAAGAGTGAGTGGTGCACTTAGGAGTCTGTGGAGACAAAGAACTTTGTCCTTAGAGGCAAAGAGGGGAATGTATGAGAGTATAGTTTTACCAACGCTCTTATATGGGTGTGAAGCGTGGGTGATGAATGTTGCAGCGAGGAGAAGGCTGGAGGCAGTGGAGATGTCATGTCTGAGGGCAATGTGTGGTGTGAATATAATGCAGAGAATTCGTAGTTTGGAAGTTAGGAGGAGGTGCGGGATTCCCAAAACTGTTGTCCAGAGGGCTGAGGAAGGGTTGTTGAGGTGGTTTCGGACATGTAGAGAGAATGGAGCGAAACAGAATGACTTCAAGAGTGTATCAGTCTGTAGTGGAAGGAAGGCGGGGTAGGGGTTCGGCCTAGGAAGGGTTGGAGGGAGGGGGTAAAGGAGGTTTTGTGTGCGAGGGGCTTGGACTTCCAGCAGGCATGCGTGAGCGTGTTTGATAGGAGTGAATGGAGACAAATGGTTTTTAATACTTGACGTGCTGTTGGAGTGTGAGCAAAGTAACATTTATGAAGGGATTCAGGGAAACCGGCAGGCCGGACTTGAGTCCTGGAGATGGGAAGTACAGTGCCTGCACTCTGAAGGAGGGGTGTTAATGTTGCAGTTTAAAAACTGTAGTGTAAAGCACCCTTCTGGCAAGACAGTGATGGAGTTGAATGATGGTGAAAGTTTTTCTTTTTTCGGGCCACCCTGCCTTGGTGGGAATCGGCCGGTGTGATAATAAAAAAATAATAATAAAATAATGTCTAAAATATTGCTGAGACCTATAAATACTTTGTATATATTTCTAGACAATAGTAAATGACCAAGGCAGGTGAAAATGTTCACCTGTCAGTGTGTTTGTGACTATTTGAGTACTATTTCAGTACCTAATATTAGTGTCAGAACAATGATTGGCTATGAAATCACAAGAACTATTTTTTTTTTTTTATTATCACACTGGCCGATTCCCACCAAGGCAGGGTGGCCCGAAAAAGAAAAACTTTCACCATCATTCACTCCATCACTGTCTTGCCAGAAGGGTGCTTTACACTACAGTTTTTAAACTCCCACATTAACACCCTCCCTTCAGAGTGCAGGCACTGTACTTCCCATCTCCAGGACTCAAGTCCGGCCTGCCGGTTTCCCTGAATCCCTTCATAAATGTTACTTTGCTCACACTCCAACAGCACGTCAAGTATTAAAAACCATTTGTCTCCATTCACTCCTATCAAACACGCTCACGCATGCCTGCTGGAAGTCCAAGCCCTCGCACACAAAACCTCCTTTACCCCCTCCCCCAACCCTTCCTTTAGGCCGACCCCTACCCCGCCTTCCTTCCACTACAGACTGATTACACTCTTGAAGTTATTCTGTTCGCTCCATTCTCTCTACATGTCCGAACCACCTCAACAACCCTTCCTCAGCCCTCTGGACAACAGTTTTGGTAATCCCGCACCTCCTCCTAACTTCCAAACTACGAATTCTCTCCCATTATATTCAACCACACATTGCCCTCAGACATGACATCTCCACTGCCTCCAGCCTTCTCCTCGCTGCAACATTCATCACCCATGCTTCACACCCATATAAGAGCGTTGGTAAAACTATACTCTCATACATTCCCCTCTTTGCCTCCAAGGACAAAGTTCTCTGTCTCCACAGACTCCTAAGTGCACCACTCACTCTTTTTCCCTCATCAATTCTATGATTCACCTCATCTTTCATAGACCCATCCGCTGACACGTCCACTCCCAAATATCTGAATACGTTCACCTCCCCCATTACTCTCTCCCTCCAATCTGATATTCAATCTTTCATCACCTAATCTTTTTGTTATCCTCATAACCTTACTCTTTCCTGTATTCACCTTTAATTTTCTTCTTTTGCACACCCTACCAAATTCATCCACCAATCTCTGCAGCTTCTCTTCAGAATCTCCCAAGAGCACAGTGTCATCAGCAAAGAGCAGCTGTGACAACTCCCACCCTGTGTGTGATTCTTTATCTTTTAAATCCACGCCTCTTGCCAAGACCCTCGCATTTACTTCTCTTACAACCCCATCTATAAATATATTAAACAACCACGGTGACATCACACATCCTTGTCTAAGGCCTACTTTTACTGGGAAAAAATTTCCCTCTTTTTACATACTTTTAACTTGAGCCTCACTATCCTCGTAAAAACTCTTCACTGCTTTCAGAAAACCTACCTCCTACACCATACACTTGCAACATCTGCCACATTGCCCCCCTATCCACCCTGTCATACGCCTTTTCCAAATCCATAAATGCCACAAAGGACCTCTTTAGCCTTATCTAAATACTGTTCACTTATATGTTTCACTGTAAACACCTGGTCCACACACCCCCTACCTTTCCTAAAGCCTCCTTGTTCATCTGCTATCCTATTCTCCGTCTTACTCTTAATTCTCTCAATTATAACTCTACCATACACTTTACCAGGTACACTCAACAGACTTATCCCCCTATAATTTTTGCACTCTCTTTTATCCCCTTTGCCTTTATACAAAGGAACTATGCATGCTCTCTGCAATCCCTAGGTACCTTACCCTCTTCCATACACCTATTAAACAATTGCACCAACCACTCCAAAACTATATGCCCACCTGCTTTTAACATTTCTATCTTTATCCCATCAATCCCGGCTGCCTTACCCCTTTCATTTTACCTACTGCCTCACGAACTTCCCCCACACTCACAACTGGCTCTTCCTCACTCCTACAAGATGTTATTCCTCCTTGCCCTATACACGAAATCACAGCTTCCCTATCTTCATCAACATTTAACAATTCCTCAAAATATTCCCTCCATCTTCCCAATACCTCTAACTCTCCATTTAATAACCTCCTCTCCTATTTTTAACTGACAAATCCATTTGTTCTCTAGGCTTCCTTAACTTGTTAATCTCACTCCAAAACTTTTTTATTTTCAACAAAATTTGTTGATAACAGCTCACCCACTCTCTCATTTGCTTCTTTTTACATTGCTTCACCACTCTCTTAACCTCCCCTCTTTTTCTCCATATACTCTTCCCTCCTTGCATCACTTCTACTTTGTAAAAAATTCTCATATGCTAACTTTTTCTCCCTTACTACTCTCTTTACATCATCATTCCACCAATCGCTCCTCTTCCCTCCTGCACCCACTTTCCTGTAACCACAAACTTCTGCTGAACACTCTAACAACTACATTTTAAACCTACCCCATTCCTCTTCGACCCCATTGCCTATGCTCTCATTAGCCCATCTATCCTCCAATAGCTGTTTATATCTTACCCTAACTGCCTCCTCTTTTAGTTTATAAACCTTCACCTCTCTCTTCCCTGATGCTTCTATTCTCCTTGTATCCATCTACCTTTTACTCTCAGTGTAGCTACAACTAGAAAGTGATCTGATATATCTGTGGCCCCTCGATAAACATGTACATCCTGAAGTCCTACTCAACAGTCTTTTATCTACCAATACATAATCCAACAAACTACTGTCATTTCGCCCTACAAACAATATCGTGTATACTTATTTATCCTCTTTTTCTTAAAATATGTATTACCTATAAACTAAACCCCTTTCTA